AAGTAGGTGCTTTAGACCACTGAGCCATCTCTCCAGCCCCCGATGTACAATTTTAATATGGAATGTTTTCTTAGTTTTGAAAAATATATTAAGATGGAACTTTGTAGTGTGATTGTGTTTTCTGTGTAAAGAATTTGGGGTAAAAGTATCGTAGATATTTGAAACAAAATCATTAGGTAAAGTTTCTTATTTCTATAATGCTTCTTTTTGGGATTTAGTGGAGGCATTGACAAGGACAATGGTTGCCAAACATCAGAGTCAGAATACTTAGGGAACTTTTAAATTAAAAGTGTCTTACAAACAAAAACAAAAACAAAAAAAGGGCCGGCCCAATAGCTCAGCGGATTAAAGCATCTGAAAGCAGGCCGGGGGTCTGATCTGGGCCGGCTGTGCTGGCCCTGGCCTCGGGGCTGAGATAGCAATTGAGACTAGTTGTGGTGCATCCCTGTAATCCCAGCTCTTGGGAGGCTGTAAACAGGTGGATCACTACAAATTGGATCTCGTAGTGAGACCCTGCACACCTGTAGGCCCTTCCCTAAAATAGGAAAAAAAGGCTCTTAGCCTTATCCTCCAGAGATGTGGATTGATTTGTTAGAGTGCTTGGGGAAAACTGTACTATTTATGTGTTTTGGTAGTTTGTGTTACATACCAATTACAACTCATTTAATCAGCAGTATAACCTTATGAGGTTGGTATTACTATTTGCAGATGAGACAAATTAATAGGTTTAATAACTTTTCCAAGGTGCTCTAGCTATATATTATTATACCTGTGGTTTGAAACCAGGTTTATGTGATTCAAAACACTGTAGCTTGCTTGTGTTTGTTTATTGTTTTGAGTCAGGGTCTCCGTGCAGTTCAGGCTGGCCTCGAACTCGGTATGTACATGGGCTGGCTTTGAACTCTGCCTCAGCCTCTCAAGTACTGGAATTGCAGGTGTGAGCTACCATGCCTGTCTCAAAGTCACTGTAGTAACCACTTGGTTGTGCTGTCTGTCCTAGCTCTTTTTTTTAACTTCAACACTGGGGCCTTGTGCCTACTAAGCGAATCCTCTGTCCCTGAGCCCCCTCCACCAGACACTTAGCATTTTTTGTAGAAATGGAATTTGACTTAACAGGCTGTGTCAAACACATTACACATGCCACCTAGATATGACAAATTTTATTGTGCCTCTATGATCTCAGAGGCTTAATTTAGGCATATAAACTTACAAATATGTCTTGACTGTGCTTGGTGGTGATAATTTATAATTCTAGCACTTGAGAGACTGAGGCAAGAGTATCTCTCAGAGCTTAAGACCAATCAGGACTACATAGTGACTTCAAGGCCAGTCTAAACTATATGGTGAGACCCTGTCTCAAAAAGCAGAAACCAAAACCAGATATAGCCTTATATTTTCCATAGTTGGTATGTAAAAGTATTTGTTATATATACAGTGTTTGCAAACAGCTGACATATACAGCTAATAAAATTTTTAAAAACATAACATAGCAAATACATAGAAAATAGTAGTGCAGACAGAAAACTGGTTGTCCAGCAAATATAAAAATTTTAATTTGTGTTGGCATACTCTGGCAAACAGACTGGTCATAACATGACGTATTGCTGTGTAAAGCTTTTTAAGTTAATAGATATTTTGCTTGGATTCTTCATTTCTAAGGGAGAAAGCCTATAACTCTCTGATACTCTTTTCATTGTCATGGTTTCATGGGCTGGTCTAAAGTAAGGATATGCAAATTCTGAATGCCTTTTTCATGACAAGATTTTTGTGACTTTAGTATGACATTACAAAAAAGAAAAAAGGCTGCTTCCACAAAGCTGTCAGCCTCAGGTTGCTGTAGTTCGATCCCCACAACACACCAGCCAGCCAAACCACCCCTTAGGGCATTTAGAGAAAAAAAAAAAAGAAAATGAAAAGACAATTAAACAAGATGCAAAGCAGAT